TTTTTTACACTGTAATTGACTTGGATATTAAATATCATACATGGGTTTGTTTTTTTACGACGTCCAACATCATGGCACGTACAATCTAATTCGAAATTTTATTTCCGAAACCAAACGTACGTGTAGTACGTATAATTTCGAGGCATATATTTTTAAGTAATAATAATACACTATATATATCTATATGACTGCAGTGGTTATGTAAACGTGAAATCCCAAAACTATGTAATTTAACTACTCTTATGTGGTAGTAGTGAAAACTATGTATTAATGCTTACTCATCTCTCTGGACAACGAACATTAATAAATGTATCTCTAAAAAAAAAAAAATAATACATATATATTACTCTATTCTTCGATAGCGTGGAGGACATCAGCAAGCAGTACGCACCACCGATCAACAGTTTTGAAACTAGGCTGCTATATCGACCGTTAATATAAGTTTTACCGTACCACGACTGTAGACACGCGCGTATTGTTATATCAACAAAGTATTTTTACGGCATAAATGTTCAATATTTCAATTAGCTCCTCATTATATATTTTACTTATAACTTTACATACGTATTTTCTGTGAAAGTTCATAGTATATCAGCACAATATGGGACAAAAAAAAAAAAAATTCTCTCACACGAGAACTAGAATATCGTGATTTTTTTATCCCGCCGCTTAACTGCGACAATATTATTATCTTTCATAATTTTATGTTTCTATCGTGACCGTTTATCGTTGACAAGTAAATCAATTTAATAATCATTTTTCCAGCTTTTATTAATTGTGATTTTCCATTGGTCTTTTTTCCATACGCCATTGTGAATATTATATACATAAAAAAAATAATAATAATCGCAAACACGATCTCATGTCTTAGTCACGCTCTAGTTAGATCGGTAATTTAGAGAAGCTTTTGCCACCAATTTCTAGATCCTATACTTGTGATGTATGTTATAAATATAAATATATTCATATGGATTTATATAGAACCTCTGGTTGAATGATTAATCGTCTTTAGTTCGCATAATGACCCACCGCACATGCCTATTGATGTATTACGAGGCAAACGCCATCCTGCAGCAAACCTTGTTCTGCAAGATTTTATGTACGCAGTTGCAAAACCAACCGTGATACCGTGGGAACCATTTGTTTTACGTACTATGCAATGTCTGTGTGTGTTGATAAATGAAAAATAACATACCTTACGTTTTATTATATAACGCGTGTATTTGAGCCAACATTCTCAAATTTCAAATTTCAAATAATTAATCTATTTCCTACTTTTTTTTTTAACTTATGTTTTTTCATAAAACTTTATGTGATAGGTTTTATTTATTTTTTAATACCCGTAAACAAATTAATTTTTTATAATTGTTTCGACTTTCATTTATACAAACCTAAAACGAAAATATATGTAAATCTTTTTCAATGTATATAATTATTATTTTAATCTTATGATAAAATCAAATTAAAATAAACAGTTGACTTTGTGTATAAGCATATTAAATTTACATTAAATCGTAAATGATTTTTCGTTATTTTCTTCAATTGCTATAATATGTTTTATTATATGTTTTTAATGTATCAGCGAAACAAATTAACAAAGACCCGCGTAATGAATACATCATAGGTATGCAGTGAAACGTAGGCAATGCACATTTGAATTGCTCATCTGAATATCTGATGAAATTCTATAAGTGTGAGATGATATGGTTCCGTCAATACAATATTTTGTTTTCTAATTTTAAACCAGTTATTGCGTGAATACACTTGTGTAAATATAACGTGTCGGATTCGAGGCGTGTTCACATTTTCGCTTAGCCCATTTCGGCTAGAGTCCACAGGCGTTGAATGATATATCATTTGGACATTTTTTTTTTTTTTTTTGCTAAATGCATTCGTCTAAAACAATTGATTCTATTTCACAGTACCCGTCGCCGTCGCCGTTGATTCAGTATTATTATAATAACAATTAAAATTTCTCAACGTTCCCGAGCGGATCGTGGTACACGATACTATCGTGATTCAGGAAAACAATAGATACCAACCCAGTATTATTCCGGTATTGAAATATTACATAGCGTATTGTTATGTTTCGGGTGTTTCGAAACCGACGCTGTTGTTTAATTGACCGTCGTGAACTGTATACGAGAACAATGTAGGGGGGAATATACCACCACTATCATATAATATATATCATTTTAAACGATTATCATACGCACGCTTTAAAATATTATGTTAATTTTTTTTTCTTCTGAAAATAATTTTACAAGTAAATGCTTAAACATCGTAATTTGTATATTATTATCATAAGCGTTTAAGAATTATACGCAGTTGGTATGCGTAATGCGTGTGTGTATAATAATATAATATACGACCTTCCAAGGACACATGGGCAGTCATTATCGCAACTTCAATTCTCACTCACGTTTATGTACGCGTAAAAATATTCGTAATGTTAAAAAATATTATCTATATTGACATTATTTTCGAATCCATTTTTATCTCGGTATATACGTATTCTTGGTTACGCTAAAGATTAGGTTTTCATGATTACCCGCGTACGAAATACATAATTATGAAGAAACGATATTTAAATATTTATGACTGAAAAAAGTGTTACAACGCAAATCGTTTGACTGTTGTAGAATCTATAAACACATGTTTTAGAATGCAATTTTTTTTTATTGTTTTTTGCTTTAATATGAAGTGAAAATTACAGTTTTTAAAACCAAATTGCTTTGGTAAACACCGCATTATGAAGTGTAAAACAATACTTTATTCATTGGAGAAATATACTGACCCACCCCTTTACTATAATATAGGTATTAAGAACCTATTGTACTTATCGTCTGTAGAACATTGTTTCTCGGTAAATCACCGAAGAAGTTATTGTTCAAATTTGAATTTACCAAATAATATACGATTTACATTTATATTCCTCCTTAAATATAATTTATTGAGTAATGGAAATACATTATTAAGTGTTTAAAATGAAAACCAACTACATCTTAGTACATAAACATGTATATATTTATTCGTATTAATTATATGTCGTGTAAAATATACCTTACCATGATTGATGGATTTTCATGGCAACCACTTGGAAAGATTTGAATTGTACACAGAATACAATTATTTTTTTACATTGTATAAATCGTTTGTTATATTATTTGCTCATCAATACTGATCTCCCTAATGGTTTTAAACCATGCCAATATGTATAAAACACGACTATTAGTATTGAAACCATACAACTTAAATTACTTCGTCTTCAAACCATTGACCTTGTTAATTTACTCTTCCGGTGCATAAAGACAGCAATGGAAAAACGATAATCATTGCTGCGAGAAGTTTTATTCCCTTTTTCGATTGTTGGAGAACTGCTATAGGATGCTCGACGAACCGTATCGGCCTATACGAGTGAATGAGAAAAAAAAATGTTTACAACGTGCAGATACTGTTGGTTTTTTGTCGGTCAACTACACTGTTGTACAAAAATCATTGCTATAATAATATAGAGGCTCGATGGAATAAATGTTCGGTAGATCATGAGAATTGCATACGCGAAATACGTAATGATAAAAAAAAAACTAATAAAATTAAACAGAAAGGTTATAGAATAAAGAAAACCGACAAGAAACCGTTGGTTTTCTGCGCGCTAACCAGAACAGATCGAGCTACTCGTGGTGTTCGCGTATATTATATATATATATGTGTGTGTGTGTGTGTGTGTATAAAAGTTTGTATTTTCTTAAATAAAATTATATCAAAAAAAATCTGCACCACAAGGTGGTACAACGCGTACTATGTGTTGCGCACACGCATTACGTTTGAGATACATATATTCTGGATATATACTGGAGTGTATTATATCGAGTGAAAGGAAATTTAAATTAAAAACAAAATACCAGTCGAACTACATTCGGCAATGATATCGGTTCAATTGAACATAAAACGCATTTATAAATATATATAAATGTATATAGTATAGTGGAGATACGTCACTGGAGAGATTCACTTTTTCTCATTGTAAATATATTACTTCATTTTCGTCAAGTATATTATATGTACGTATATAAGCACATAATATAACGGTTTGAATTGCTATAATACTGTGCAGTTTTAGACGTATAATAATTACAATAATTGAAATTGAAATCCGCGTGAGAAATAATAGCTATTCTACGAGATGCATAAAACCAGTGCGTATGTGTATGAGTGTGTGTGAAAGAGAGAGAGCCATTAATGATGTGATACTAGTGAAAAACGAAATCATATTCTATGTAAAAATCGTTATGATCAAAAATATGAAATCGGAAATTAATTTGTTATTTTGAAATCGATGCATAAAAGCTTAATCGGATTTAATTTATTAAACCAAACTTTTAAATGAATGAATGAATACTGATTATTTTAACCGTCTATTAAACTCACGTATTCTTAACCAATAAAAACAATAAAATAAAAGATTTGAAAGTCCCAATTGACAGAATAAAATAATCATTATTTGTATCTATACATTCTATGAATTTTTCCAAACTACTGTTTTTCTTTTATCTGACAATATGTATTCAAACGATAAAAAATTGCATTTGTTACTTTTTAAATATGCTTCTCTTATTTTATTTCATAGACACGAGAACGTATGAATTATTATAGTTTGCTGATATATTTATATATAACGCATATCATCATACGATCATAATGTAACAAGCATTTTTCACAAGCGCTCAAATGTAGGCTAACCGAGTCGAGCGGGGTCATTTACCTATACAACTGGGTTTATTTTATAGTACACTGTGTCATCTGTGTATAAGATAAGCTCGTGTCACTCGATAAGGAATCGATCAAGAGAAAGTCGATAAAAATGTTTTATTTAACAGGAACGCATTGTTTTTACTTATAATCACTTAATCGTTTTTGATTCGAAACTAATTTTTAATTTATGTTGTACTCAGTCACCATTATATTTTATTAATAAATTATGATTATTTTGCTTGCAGAACGCATTCAGAAAGAAACGAATCATAATATTTTCCAACACTACCGTTCAGGGTAAGTAACTAAATATGGGTAAAAACCATATGTACACGTTATTATTGCACAATGCACGTTCATTGATGTTTTACCAAACGGTATATTGACCGTTTGATGATTCTTTTCCAATTTTTTATTGATATTTTTATATACTTCAATAAATAAATTATATGGAAATCATTACAACAAAGTATATATTTTTCTGTGCTGAAATACAAATTTAAAACTTTAAAAAGATTTATAAAAAAAAAAAAATCATTAATTCAGCTCCTGAATAGTAATATATTATGCCATTATTCTCAATTCTTAATACGACATTTATTTTGTTACAAAAATATGGATTTCTAGCAGATCTGTGTATCATTTTTAATGCAAGTATAATTTAATCGTGAAAACACAATTATTTTTTCATAAACTCAATTTGATTGAAACGAGTAGTGTACTTTCCATTATTTTTTTGAAAATACGGAAAAATGATAAAAATCATGATTTAAAATATTATTTATGCTTAGTTACCAATATTTATTAGAATGGTCACTACTAAAATGTTAACAAATAAATAATAAAAAATTCCTTCAGGCTATACAAAATAAATTATTAAAATCAGTAAAACTTACTATAGCTCTTTGCGTATAAATAATTCTAATATGGTATTTTTCTATTCAACTAATTTTTTTTTTTTTTAAATAAGTGTTTTACACAAAATCTCGCTTTACGTGTTCACCCCGCGGGACTTCACGAAAACCAATTAGTGCCGGTTGATAAGAAACAGTCGGTAACAAAATAAAAAGTAACTTTTTTTTAATTTTAGCTGAATGATCGTGATAATGATATTGTTGAATTTCTATGTAGTAATATAATTATAAAATTAAATGTTTCCTATTACCAAAATATTACAACAGAATCTATGTCCTTAAGTAATCTTATTATATTGAAATAAACATGTCGGTAATTATTGGTTAACATAGGGTTCAATTTACATATATGGCTTGAACAATTTTCTTTATGTTATTTACTGATTTGATGTTGGAATAATAAAATTTTGATTATTCAATTAAAATTAAAATAACTCGAAATAACTTTTGTTCCGAACAAAAGAATTATTATACGTTAATAAATATTCTTAACTGCTATGTATATTTTTAAAAAATATTTACTTCCAATAATTGTTTAAAACAATATTTCTTCTATTTTTATTACTTATATTCATACTTCAGTTATAAATTAATTTGTGACCATAAGATATACTTGTATATTCTTCAAAAATAGTGTTTTTATATTTTAAATAACTATGATTATAGATATTATAAATTATATATTATATATTATAGATATTAGCAATTACATATAAATGTAATATTTTAAAAAAAATAGACCTAATATCTTTATTTATTTATTTGATTTTTCATTAGAATATGTAGAGCGAACTGTCTTGTTAAAATATTATTTTCACGATTTATAAAAAACTCGATGAAATTATAGGCGATAAAACCATTTTGTGAAGTGCGAACTATGGGAACATTTTATTATCTGGCCTCAGGATACTCGATCCTCAGGCTCATGAAAACATAATATAGCACGTCATAATATTAATTGTAATAACATTAAATCACGATCCTTTCTATTATTTTTCTATAAATTGTTTTCGGTTTTTGCAATTTATGATCTACGGATTATGACCTAGCGGCATTGTATGACTCAGGGGTAAAGGTGAATTCCAAACTTAAGAAAAAATTCTATATTCGTTCTTGACAGTCTCTATTTATCAAAACACACTCGTTTTGCGGAATTAGCATTAAAAAGAACTTCTTTCACGGAAAAAATACATGGAGATGAATTGTACATGTAGTTTGTTATACAGTTATATAGTACATTATGCATATTTATTATACATATATTCTGTTTCCTATGTATATTGCGTAAATAGCACAATTAATAATGACAAAATGTTTTAAATAAATTAGAAAATTCTTAAAAGTACACGATGTTATAAAATAATTCTAAAATTACATATTACGTATTTTAATGTAATTATGATTATTATATTTTTATGTACCTTTGTGAGAATTAAATTAAAAAAAAAAATCGTTCTACCTTCATTCATTAGAAATAAAATAAACTAAGTACCTTTCCAAGCTATTTTTATTTCACAAAATGAGAAAGAATCAAGACAATATACATCAAATATACTTCAAAGTAAATGTACTAATTAACATTAATTAAATACTCTTATTTTATAATTGTTTTATATTTTAAAGAAAAATAATGTTGATAATTTGTGTATAAGGCTCAACTTAAATAAAAAAAAAAACAAAACAAACAACAAATTAAATAATAGTCTCTATGATAGATTCGGGTACTTCTTATTAAAATATTTATCATCAGTTTCACTAGGGATCTTCATTATGTATACATGCCAGACCCAACTTTTTAAAGTCTAGGCCAATCAGTGAAAAGTTTTTGTCGGAATTTTCCATGGTTTTATTTATTTTGATAAATAACTATATCACTATTATAATAAATATGTATTCTTGTTATGTCACGATATTAAATGTATCATATTTGTACAAGTAAAAATGCGTGTAAGTATTGCGTTAGCCTTCGACCATTGAATGTATTTTTAATATAATATTATCATAATATATACTCTGAAACTAAGAAACTTTTAACATTCAACGTGGAGTTGATATTATGTAAAGACTCGAAAACAGAATGATTTGTTTATTTTTGTTATTATACATTTTAGTCGTTCAAATATGAGGTTTATAATTTCATACCATGTTATTTTTACGATTCATTAAGATAGATAATTTAGTTTTTCGATTACAAAACATGATTTATTTTTAATCGAATATTTTAGAATAAATTACTTTAAATTTGAGCAAGTTAAAATACGAGCCCCTTACTTTTAGACATAGATTGTAAGGCCCCATTTACATTTTGGATAGGGGGGGGAGATCCGGGCACGCCTGACACCCTTCGTGCGCATGCCTTTGAATTGTAATATTCAGCTTTTCTTTTCAAAACGCATATTCATGCCAATATATCGCATTAAATTGACAGATCATATTTAATATATCATTAATGTGAACCGACCCTTTTCACAACATGACGGCAATGATTTTATTCTTTTCCCGTGATTTTATACTTTTTTTCATAGTAATAATAATAATAGAAACGTGATTGTTCTAAGAATATAATATACATTGAAAATTGGAGGGCGTATTAAGTTTCCATGTATATCAAAACAATATTACCGCTGGTTATCACGATTTCCATTGCTGAACGCTACATAATATAATACTTGTATATAAATATATAATATATTTCTTTGACAGTGTTTTGAATTATGCACTGATATAAAATAACTGTTATGAATGTACGTATAAATAGAACGCCTACTATAATTTAAATTGTTATATATCTATCCTAGTGTGTCGGCTATAGTATGTTGCGTACACGAGATTCGTATTACATACATGTATACACATATATACGACTTGGTCCGCGGGACGAGAATTTTTTTTTTAATAATCTCTTAATACTTTCTGAATCCAATCAAATCAACAATATTATAAATTATTGTGTTAATTATAATTCAATGATATGCGAAAACGTGCTTTAAGCTACTGCTGTGGTCGTAACAGTTGAAATATTATAATATGATGTCAAAGACGGGTACCGCTTCGGCCTGCAGTGCAACAGTATGGGTGTGTTATAATAAGCTGGTGCCGTTAAACGTTTGCAGGAGAAAGGGGTTGATAACGATATACATAATAATGTGATTTACAAAGTGCAAGTTTTCACTTTTGTTTATGCACAGTTACGCATATACTGTATGTATATTTATATATGGAGGTGGACGTCTGCAGATTATTAGAATAATAATAATGTACGCTCGGGGCGTCGGATATAGGTTTCACTTCACCGGGTAGTGAAGTAACCGGCTGCCACCTCGAGGCGATCCCGATTTCCATTTGTTTTGGCTCTCATCTCGCTTCACCTCGGGCATCCAGTCAAAAATATTACATACGTACACACACACCTCCCGAAGCTATCCGCTTTTATACCCGTTTTTGCTATGCGTATGTATACGACCCCCGGAGGCGATACCGCCGGTGAAAATAATATCCCGTTAAATGACGCGGCATTGCACACACCCCTTTCACTCTCTTCCGCTGTTGACGTGTCCGCCGCATTCGGATTCCCCCCCGATAAAGCGTGTTTATGTTTGTTTCATTTTTTTAACCATGACCAGTCATCAAGATGATAATGAATCACCGCGGAGCGCGCGCGGGCCATCGACCTTCACATTTCACCGTGCAGCCGTCGATCAAATTAATGTAATTATATTAGCTATGAGAATTGTCGTTAATACTTTCTCCCGATGTATCGACCACGCGGGTAAAAATGTTTAAAAAGCCATAATCACATTAACCTTGGGATCATGAAACATCGCGACGGTATACGCAAGCAATATTCTTAATAATTATATATATAATAAAATCGGTAATTGATAATCAATAGGTTTTCTCTCGCGTTGCAGTTATTATATGCACGCTCGAGGTTCCCAAATATTCAAGTCGCTTGTTAAAATATTAATAAAAATATATTAGTTTTTTTTTTCGACTAAAAAACATGATAAATATTTTGTACAGCCCATAGTGGCAATTTTGTTCTACTTCATACGATCGACGTATAGTAATTGTATAATGTGATATATTGATGCTCGTATTATGTACGCTGGAGTCAAGTAATTATCTTTGTTGGTAAATCTGAAAAAGGCTGTACGAAATACCTAGTAGTAAAGTTCACATAATTAAAAAAAAAGATATGATTACAATATACGAAAACGAAACGTATCTTTAATACACAACAATCCTAAAAACATATAAATATATGTATTCTTACTACCCATGTGAATGGTTTTAGTGCAATATAAAATTACTATAAGAAAATAACCAGTTTGTTGAGCTCATCCATAAATCAGTGTAGGTACGTGGAAAAGTTGGTCATAT